TGTTTATCTGTTTTCTAATCAAAGTAATTTTAAATTAAGTTTTTTTTTTAAATATTTACTTTTAGATTTAAAAACAATTTTTTTAAAAATATTTTTGTATAAAAAAATTATTCTTTTTGCGAAAAATAATAATATTATTTTTGTCATTTATTTTATTTGTATTTAATATCATTATTTGATAAAGAAAGAAAAAATTAGAGAAATTAAAATTAAATAAACCTTATTTTGTTTGATTTAAATAATAAAAAAAATTATTTTTCTGCTTTAGATTTTTTATACATTTTTTTGTTTTTTGTTTTTTAAAGAATTGCAATAAAGAAATTATTTTTCTTCGAGCAAAAAACTAATGATAAATCGTATTTAGAATAATTTATTTTTTTTAATCAAATATCGAATTTAAGTTAAAAATTAATTTAATTTTAGAAACTAATACTTTTTTATTCTAAAAATAATACAAAGAAAATACATGTAGGCCTATATATAATCTAATATATTAAAGAAAAGCGGGGAAAAACAATAATAATAATTTAGTTTCAAAAAATTCAATTTAGCCAAAATAATGATGTGGTTAAATAAAAATATCATGATAAAATGACAGAACATTAATTCTAAAAAAGTAAAAAATTTGAATAAAATTTTCATATGTTTGCTTCTGTGTAACATTGCTCATCTATTGACAAATTCCTTTTAGAATAATTATACTTTGATGAAAGTATGGAAGATGATAAATTTTATTTAGGGAAAGAGCTCATGATTTAAATATTTTAACCACGAAAAAAAAATCGATTTTTGAAAAAGGGCTACTAATCTAAAAAAGTAGTAAGATGCGGTGTGGGTATGTGTGGGGTATCCTTGAAGCTATTTCACAAATTGAACTTTGATAAATCCAACAATTGAAGCATCTCTTTCATTGTTGCTGTTTAACGTTCACTCCCTGGAGACTTTTCTTGGAGCAGATATAACAAAAACACCAAAATACAAAAAAAAAAAAAAGTAGAAAAGAAGACATTTTAAAAACATGTTATTCATTCAATCCAACTCAGAATTGAAAAATCACCCAACAACTCAATCTATTGTTTTCGCTTTTTTTAAATCATTTTCTTCGATTTGTTCATTTTTATTAATAGAAAATAACACAAATTTTAATTTTATTTCTTTGCTTTTATATTAAATATTATCATTTTTTTATTCGTATTCAATTATTTTTGCTTGTGCGAAATTCAATATTCTGAAAGTATGTTGTCATGTGTTTAGCTTCTAAGAAACATTACATTAAAAATACAGAGAGAAAAATATATAAATAAATATGACTGTGCATTAAACATATTATTTTTATTATTTATTTCAGAAAAATAATAAATTATTTGCTACGAATATAACAAATTAATTAATTACATGTAAGCTTCATAAATCATAAAAAAGTATAAAAAATATTTTCTATATTTAATATTTAGCTTCATTTATAGAGAAAAATGATAATAAATATTACTTAATAATTTATATCATTCTATAGAAAGTCTCATATATTTTGTATTAATTTTTCTATAATTTAGTTAAATTAAAGTGATTTTGGTAAAAGATGTATTTTAAATTGAAAAGTTTAAAATACATCTTTTACCACTTCTAGATAATGCTAAAAGATAATCGCGTTAAAGTGAAAAGTTCTTTTTTTAATATTAAAATCGTTTTTTGTATAGGCTGTTACACTTGAAACTCGAGCACATGAATTCTTTCTCCCAACTAGTATTGAGAACAATGTGATTTTGACATTGATTTCTTCGCAAAGACAATATTTTATATATTTTTTATATATATATTTTCAAATCTAATAATACTAATTTAAAAATTATATACCTGACACGCATTGATTTTCCATATAATCTACAGGTTTGAAAGATTTTCTGAACGACTCGGGTGCTGATCTTCTATCGTGTCTACTTAAAACACAGCTTCGATTGCTTCCATCGTATCTTGCTGAGCGACACACAAAAGTCGATTCGCTACTACAATATTCTAAGCATTTGTCTTTGGTTTGGATATTTTTAAGAATTTTATCGTCGTATCCATACAGTTGCACACCTTGAATAACATCAAAAGACCAATGTCTGTGACAGACGTTACCTAGAAAAATAATATCATAAAATTAACGCGCATCGTTACGTATCAAACATCAGCTACTAATAGGAAAATTATTGTTAACTCCTGTTACTGAACGATGATTAGGAGTGACTTATTAATTAAAATAGCATTAGCGAATGCTCGGCTTATGACACGGACAATCAAAACAAAATTCGAATTATCGACAAATTTCTAACAGAAGCAATTATTCGTTTAGATAAATTATATTAAGAGTAATCTATATAAAATTTTTTTCCTAGCATTATTCTTCTACAAGACTTTTTTGTTTGAATAATCCAATATTTTTGATGGATAGAATATTTGAAAGTTGATTATTTCCAGATGTTTTATGGAAAATAGAAAGGAGAGGAATTCTAAAAAAAAGAGGAAGTTCTGATGTTTAGGAATAAAAAAACAAGAATATAAAATGAGATGCGATTTGAAGAAGTACCCCAGAAACGAAGAAAATACGAAACAAAAACCTGTTGAGAAAGTTTCAGATCAAATCAGAACGGAAAGAGATTCAGAATAAGTAGGACGGAAAGTGGAAAAAAGAAACCAAGTCTCTTAGGGATAAAAGGAATACAGACATTCTGGACGAGTTCATTGTCCTTTTAGCATTGTCAAGGCAAAGAGTCGATAGGGATATTGATAGAAAGACGGAAGACTAAAGAATCATTAATAGCACCAAAATTGTGATAAGGCTATCTCTTTGTGTGCACGCCCCATTGCTCTGAGAATTTTTTTTTTCTTTTTTTCGAGAAAAGAGTTGTCTGTTTTGGTTTAAAACAAAGCGAGATGAATCGTTGTATAATATATTTTTTTTTATTTAACCCTTTTGTCACGCAGGTATCGTCATGAAGGTTTTGTGAACTTTTAGAAGTAGTCTTTTTTGAATTTTCTGCGTAATTATATAGAATTTTAATTTTTTTACAATTTATTAAGAAGATGCAATTTTTTATAGTAAAAAAGTAAATAAATACAATAACTTCGAAAAAATAAGAGAAAACGAAGCAAATAAATTCATATACTATATGTGTGTAGCGTCCTCTGCGAAATAAGTGAAATGGAACATTTAAAACTTTCAATATAATGATTCGTCTTCTATGTGCGATTGATTAGAAATTAAAATAGACAGATATTCTTTTGTTATTTTCTTCCTTTTAACCAATTATTCAATCAGCCGTATCCTTAATTAATTAATTAAAATGTTTAATGTGCTATAACTTACGTAAATTTCAGAACCACTGATATATAGCCTATAGTATGAAAGATCATTTTTTCTTACTTGTATCTTTATTGTCCCAAGATTATTATTTACAATTTTAGGACTTCCTGTATATAAGCTATGCGCTAAATCAGATCTGGCCAACCCACTGCCTCAAGCCTCATGCGACCCATCGGCTCTTCTGGGTCCTCCGACGATTCTTACCCGCATTATGTTCAATTAAATAGCCAGAAATGTAATGTTTGTTTCACACGATTAAAATAGATTATTGTCGATAATTTCAATAATTTATCTAGATTTGAACACGAGATAATCACGTGTATGAAGCTTGAAATATAATATTTGCTACCAGAGGGATGCTATTTATAGCGACCTACTGTTCTTTGGCCTCACATGTCTTAGGCTGCCTGTACCAATAGTTTCTGACAAGGAAGGTATTGAAGAACGCGCGATGTATCCAGTGTTACGAAGTTAGTAGATTTTCTACTAAATTTGGTAGATTGAGACTTCCCCCTCTTATGTAACTGCGGCCCGCGGAACGATTTGGGCTGGCCAAGCCTGCATTAAATTAACCTTGAGAGAATGCTAGAAAAGTTCCCATGAATATAAGTACCGAAATAGACAAAGATAAGCTTACATCCGCCTACTTTTCCTTCTCAACCAATCGCCGTTCAGACAACAATATCTTCAACCAATCTTTAAACTTTTATAACATTTTTATGTGTTCTTTCTCATAAATTTGACCAAAAGCTTCCTACATTCTTAAGCTTATCTCCTCCATCATCTCACAAAGGATGTCATATCGAACAACTATTCATGCCATGTAACTTATGCAGAGATTTATTCCACGTAACCGAGTAAATATGACGTTTTTTTATAATATCATAACTCACAAAAATTACGAAAATTAAACATTAAACTTAAGAATAAACAAACCATAATTGTTATTTATTAGATCGCGTGCAAGTCTTGAAACTACGAGTGATACAAATTCTCTTGACATTCCAATTTTATAAGAAATGCATTTACAATTTTTCCCGAATATACAAATGTAAAGTAAGGTTTTAAATTGATACAAAATAGAATTTTTTGCATATTGTCGTGTGATGACATCCGATGAATAATTCCGGATATTTTTATGATGGGTCACTGACGTGAGTTGTCTTTACTTTTATCCGTTTTTATTTTCAAACTTCAATCGATTAAAAAAAATAATAATAAAAATATTTTTATGATATTTTATATTCCCTATTTCAAGTAATAACGCCGAGTAATAAAAAACCCATTTCAGATCTTATCATATTTTTGAATTATTTTTAATATATTTTTCACTAATACATCTACTTTTTTGGTCACGTTTCAAAGATGTTTAAGTCGAGATCAAAGTTGGATTAACTTGAGAGAAATTTCAAGAATGATGATTCTAAAATTGAATTTTTTTTCTTACGAACAGAATTTTTCAAGTAGTATAAATTCTCTAAATTTTCCAGAACATTAAACACATGCAAATTTCACTTAAAATCGAAGATGGCGGATTTTTTTAAAAGTTGTAAAAAACACATCGTTTTTGTATCTTTTTTAAATAAAAAGTTAAATTTTAATAACATTTTTTTACCTTTTAAGCATATTTTTCTATGGTAACTCCATGCTGAATTATCTACTAACTGCTGTTCGATGTCATGAGCCAACGCAGTCATCAGTATACAGGTAGAGTTGACATGTCCAACAAAATAAGAAGTGCAATTCTCTTGGTTGTAGCATCTTTTGTGGCACTCACTAGACGAAAGGTCTTCCTTGATGCTATCCATTTCGACTTCGCTGTCTTTGACAAGCTTAACTGAAGGCATTCGGATGAAAGTTAACTTGCCTTCAGGACATATTGCTATGGAAGTGAAAGAATAAAAAAAATATATATAAAAAAATTGAAAAATTATATCTAAAAAACTTTCTTATAGAATAAAAGAAAGAAGTGATAGTAATCTAATCTTTACAACACTTCTTTGTCTGAATTTTTTTAAAATAATGTATATATATATGTAAGATCACTCAAAAGTTGCAGAAACGATGCTACTAGTAAAATAAAATTTAAATAATTGATTAAAATAAAGAGGCAAAAAAATTTAAAAAATAAGAGTTAATAAAATTAATTTCCCGGTTGTTATATTGAATTTTTACAGTTTTAAATTCATTGAACTGTGTGTAAATCTGCAATAATCAGTGAATCGATCAGTAAATAAGTTGTAGAGAATGAGCGAGAAGCGAACGTGTAAATTGCATTTATTCGCATTACCCGCAGCAGTAGTTGTAACTTTCACTTTATATTTCATTTGAAAATTGACGTCAGAAGAAATTTTGATAAAAATTTTTCTTTTTTTTCTTCTTTATTCAGTATATTTGATTTAATTTACGAGACTTAATTCAATTTATTCATCTACTAAGCTACGTAAGAATGGCAATTTAATAAACTCTTTTAAGTAATCTATATATTAATTCGTATTATTATTATTATTATTATTGCTTAAAACATAGAATAAAAGAAAGAAAATGTTATTTTAGGACAGTAACTACATTTTTTAACGTCTTTTATTTATGACAATTCAATACTTTATCATAGAAAAATGCCAATAGCCAAACTTAATATTGATTTTATAGAGTTTATATTTCTTGTCGTTCATTTAAGCTACGAATTTTGTGTCTATAAAATTGTTATAAATGTTGAAATTTTAATAAAAATTATAATTTTTTTTTCACCTTCTTTTTGGGTGAAGGTAATCAAAGGAAGATAATTAGTTACGGGAGAAAGTTTACTTGATCATTAATTTTAAGTTCCTGAGATTCATGGAAAAAAACATGAAACACGATTTATCAATAACGAAATTTTTTCAGATTTAATTAGTAAAGAATGAAAATTGTCATCTGAATAAAATGTATTTATGTAAAAAAGTATATAATTAATTAATTTATATCAAAATTCGTTTTTAATAAAATAAAAATACGTTTAAATTAAGCATAAATTATGCTAATTTATTCGTAAAATATGCTATTTTCTTACTTACCAGTAGTCAATGTATACGTACAATAAGTAAAAAGAATAAACCATCGTATTAATTCTGAAAAAAATACATATATATAATATTTTTAAAAAATTATTGAAAATTAAATTTTTAAAAATAAACATTAATTTATTATTTACATTAGTTTTTATTAAATAAATAAAAACATTTTAAAAAAAATTATATTAATTTTTCCGATAAATAAACGAGCAAATTGCATGTTAAATTAGTAATAAAAAAATGTCAATATCAAAAAACAGAAAAATAATATTGAAAAAGTCAAATTTATATTCTGATAACGTTTTTAAAAAATTAGATTTTTCTCAAAACTAAATGTTTTAAGTTATATTTTTATTAGCCTAATACTGTAATAATGAATTATATTTAATAGAGTTTAAATGTTTTATATATTTCTATAAATAAATCTATATTAATTTTATTATGTTTTAATTAAAAAATTCAAAAAAGAGATTGTTTTTCGTATAAAAATATTCATTTTTACAGCAATTTTTTATTAATAGTTATTAAATAAATTCAATTTTTTAAGACCGAAACATTAAGAAATAAAAAAAAATAAAGTGTATAAAGTTAGACATTCAGGAAAATTTTCTAAATAATAACTATTTTAGAGAAGTATAGACTCAAATAGTAATTTTAAGCTTAGAATTATTTCAGTACAAACTTAAGTACATTTTTTGTTCGTCTTTGTTTTTTTGAACGATTTTTTAAAACATTTATTTACAAAATGAACACGCGAACTCCACATTAAGCCAAACAGGAGACTATTGATGTCATAGAAAATCTTTTTAGTTACTTAATTGAGCGACAATGCACCATCATCCGTATCAAAACAGTAAGAAAATGTTATTGGTTCCATATTTTTGACTCGAAATTGTCAAATTTTTTACGATAAATAAGGCTTTATCAAGATACTTCACCATTTTCGTCTATCGATATTTAATAATCTGTTATAAAGATCTGTATATAATTTCAACTTTTAGAGACATTTTAAGAAGAAAATGATTAAAATTTAATTTTAAAATTGATTAGAAATTTATATAATCTTGTTGCAGTCATTGATAATCATTGTAATTTAATATATTCTTAACTAATTCGTATCATTATTTAAATATAAAAGATTTAAAATTATAAAAGTGGTAGCTGTAAAGTGGTAATTATCTATGAATTTTTCTATGTTTTTTTTAATATTTTCCTTCTTTTAATTTTAGCTTCTAACGATTTCTCTCCAGTTCAAGAATAATTAATGAGAAAGTCGAGAACACTTTATGAAGCTGTTTAAATTAGAATGCCAATCATTCTTTTATGAACGTTCTGTTGTTAGTGAATTAGTTGAAGATACAAATCATGAAAGGCTCTTTTATACTGCATTTTAAAATATTTGATGTATAATTAAAAAATTTTTAACTTCGAGCCATATTATTCAACTTTTAAAATTTATGACTTATAAGGAAAATTAATTAAATTTTGAAAAATTAATTTTGGATAAAAAAAAAACGAAAAAATTCTTTAGCTAGTTTCTACTTTAGTATATGAAGATGGAATCTCAAACATGACCTCAAGCATCTTCTGTACACTAACGAAGTTTAATCTCGTGGGAAAGCTGCTTAATCGAGCAACGTTCAACGATCAATCAAGGCGCGATGTAACTGCTAATTATGACGAATTGATCAAACATTTACTCGTAAAATGAAGCGAAACAGTAAATATATTGATCGTTTATAAATTTTTAACTTAAAACTATAACATAAAACTGAATGTAAAATGCTTCAAAATTAATATTAATAATTCTCATTTTATAAGCATTTTAAAGGAATAAATTGAAGTTTAATGATTTTTATGATTTATTTTATGTTATAAAATCATTAAAATATCATATAATGGTTAATAAATCAAAATATATAACATGACTTGTATTTTAATGATCATAAATTTATTATCATGTGTATTATGAAGTATATTTTAATTTAATTAATTGAATTTTTTATTATTCTTCCCTAAATAACGTGCGACAACACTAAAATCAATTAATAAATTGTAGAAAAGTATAAATATTTTACACCATTTTAAGAACTTCAATAAAATAATTATAAAATTGTAATTGACAGTTCGCTGAATTACTATGTGAATATTATAGCATCTAATTAACAGAAAATTGGAATTAAATGGAAGAGTTTTATACTATATGCACAGAATATAAATGTAAGCGATATGATTTAGGAATGTGTTTGTTATATTATATTGTGATGTATAAGGTTAATTGTTTATAAATGACTATATAATTGGGAATTTGCGAGCCATTTTGTCATTGTTGATTCATTTTCATAACTTAACAAAGCTGAATAAGATAACAATAGTGCAACAGACATAGCTTCAGGACGTCAAAATGTAGATGAGATTTTGTTTGACGTTCTAAAAAATAAAACGGAATCTTTAGAAAAGTTCTTAGTTCTTTAGAAAAATTGGTTTAAAGTTTAGGAAACTTTCAACATGATTTGGTTCAAAAGTTAAAAGGAGAAAGGAAGAATGGCTTCTGTTGAATGGAACAATTACTCAAAAGAATGTAATTAAACATTGTGCAATATGTAACCATACATCCAACTTTTAAAAAAATAAGGAAAAAATTCTGAAATCTTGTATGATATAACAAGCATTGTAGCTAAAAATATCGCGTTTAAAAGTTATTTTCAATAAAGACCTTTCATTTCCTAAGTGAGGACATTGTCGTGTTCACTAACGATTTTAATCATGAAAGTTGTACGAGTGACATTAATATCCCTTGGCAGATTAACAAGTAAAACTTTGATTTAATATCTAAGAGCAAATGTTACAAACAGTAAAGTGATGTGTAATAAAGACTCAGAAGATTTGACACTTCTTATTTTTCAACAAATATTTGCTTCCAGACATCATTAAAGTGGATTCTAAATCGTTTGATGTGTCACTTCACTCGTTATACAAGTATCCAATTAGTTTAATTTTCAACTCTTATTTATTTTATTAGAAGAATGTTCACTAAAATTCCTTTGCCAATAATTAAATAAATAATTAAAAAGCTAATTGATAGAAGAAGAAGAATTATTTATTTATTTATTCTTTTTATTGAAAAATGTTCCTTTCAAAAATTCTTATAAAAACGTATTCCGTGTTCAATTCAGGTTAGAAAGTTGAAAACGGAAAAGCATTTAGAATAACGTCACGTACCATTTTGGTCGTCACGACATCCAAACAAGTCAAAATGGTTCGTGAAGAGAAAAATCCTATTTTGTTGACTTTAAAATATCTATCACTTCCTATATATATATATGTGTATTGTTAACTCACACAAGTAATTCAAAAAAATTGTAAATTAATCTTATGTAATTGTAAAAATTTCAAAAACTTGTTGAAGAATTTATTCGCGTAACAGTTACGATGTCATTTAAGTTACAAGACAAAATAACTTTAAGTATTTTACTTTTTTCTTTTAAACCTTTTCTAACATCAGACAGTATTGAAGTTAATGCTTGTTGCACTTGAATTATCCTTTGCTGTTATGCCACTTTTTAATGGAAGATTTTCTAAAGTAAAAAGCTTTTAAAAGCTTCAGTAATGGATGAGCTGATCTTAAGTAAAATCAGCCTTTACTTACTTCAATTCGTTTTGTCTCAAATGTCTTTTTTTCTGGAACAATTCGGTATACAGTATTTAACTTTTTTGTTATTTTTATGTTTGTTTTTTCGATTACAAATCTTTTTCTGTTATAATTTAATTAGTAATAAATAAATAAAAATTAGTTAACTAACTTCGAATTGAACAAAACTCGGCACCATATTTAAATATAATAATCGAACTATCTGCTTATTAACGAAATTAATTAGTTAACTGAATTAATTTTTTCGAAACTAAATGGCTTCCTTATTTATCAGCATAATTTATTTCTATCTAATTTAATATTCAATTCATTAACATAATTTATTCTTAAATTAACTAAATTAGCTCTCTGATTGGTTGCTTTTACATTTAAAGATTCGAATCTTCGCATCTGATTGGTGCAATATAATTTAAATTATTTACGACAATTGTTAGTTAAACTTTAAAAATTTGAATAACGACACCTAATTGGACAGTTTAAATTATTTAATTTCTAAATTATATAACTTAAAAATAAATTTATTGTAAAAGTTATTTATAATTTTACTACTTTTCTAAAATTTACTTTTAATAATAATATTATTATCATTAAAATTTTCTACGACTTCATAAAATGGCATTTTACTTATTTAAATGTAATTTAAAGAAGTTTTAAGTTAATAAAAATATATAAAAATGAAAATTATGTTGTAAACAANCTTCAATTCGTTTTGTCTCAAATGTCTTTTTTTCTGGAACAATTCGGTATACAGTATTTAACTTTTTTGTTATTTTTATGTTTGTTTTTTCGATTACAAATCTTTTTCTGTTATAATTTAATTAGTAATAAATAAATAAAAATTAAAAACAAAAAAAGATTTAAATTAATAATAAACAAGTGGAAATAGTCGAGAAAATTAATGAAGTAAGTCAAGTAAATTTGTGATTTACAATTTAATAGTCGGAATTTATATTTATCATAAATTCTTAGACATTAACTTAATTATCCAACGTCAGCAGGACGGTAATAAAACATGAAAAATTGTACAAACAACAGTTTTGATTAGTAATAAAATATTTAAATATAAACTTGAATAACTAAAATACTTTATTGTCCGTTTTATAAAGTATATTAATTCATAATCATTTACATTTTTAAAGTGTAATAAAGTTAAATATTGATCATTATAAATTAAAGAGTCTCAAAAGAAATTACATTATCGATAATTAATTAATAACCGTAGATAATTGTGATATATTATCAGATTAAGCAATTAATGTTATGTGATATTTCAATTAATGGAAATTAATTACCTAATAGAAGCAGATAGTTGGCACTTTGTGTTGTAAGTGGTTTACACGTGCAGTTTATCATTCAATGCTGCAAGTACATTTATCTTTCTGCTGTTTAAAATATGGCTTTGCTA